AGTCTTCGAGCTTTCCGGTTTGTCTCTTCCAATTGGACGACTGAAACGAGACTGCTTCTGATTTTGAACTTCCTCGGGCCTCTTTTCTTTATGTTTATCCACCGGCTGTTGTCGAGCCTCTTTACCCGGGGTTGGACTTGTAATCACCCCCATCTCTGTGAGAGTTTTGGCTGGTCCTCTTTTGTTTGCCCCCTGCTCGATAGGTGGCGGATAATTATAGTGGTACTCATTTCCGCTTCTGGTGGTGAAGACTTCTTTATGTTTATCTACCGGTTGTTGTCGAGCTTCTTTACCCGGTGTGGGACTTGTAATCACCCCCATCTCTGTGAGAGTTTTGGCTGGTCCCCTTTTGTTCACCCCCTGCTCACTAGGTGACGGATAGTTGTAGTGATACTCATTTCCGCTCCGTGTCGCAAAAGCTCCTTGTTCTTCTTCAGGGGTGAACCCAAAGGATTTCGCCATTTGGGGCTGTGTGCGGCACAAGTCCCTTTTGGCGCTGTCCGTGTGGGTCGTCATTCACCGTCTTTATCCCGACTTTGGTGACGCGTTTTGGCTCGAACCAATTTGTAGGCACCGACCCGAAACTGATTGATGTAGGCACCGACCCGAAACTGATTGACACTGCGTTTGCCCCCACATTCTTGGCTGGTTTCGGGGTTATGACCCCTACGTCGATTAACGCCTGGATCTTGTCCTTGAGGTGGTAGCATGATCTCGTAGGGTGGTGGACCGCTCTGTGGTACGCGCAGTACTTTGGATCCGTCACCTTGCTGGCCCCCTCTTGATCCACGATCGCTGGCAACTGGATTTTGTTGTTCTCCAACGAGTATTTGAAGATGCCGGGAACTTCATCATCTTTGAAGGAGTAGACTTTGGGAAACCTCGGCTCCGAAGATTTCTGCTTCTGAGGCCGTTGTTGCCATTGCCCTCGAGATTGTTGGGGTGCTTGTTGCTGTGGCTGTTGCTGAGGTTGCAATTGAAAGGTTTGATGATTAGCATCAACTGCATTAGCTTGTGCCTTACCTTTCCCCCGTGGGACGAAATTCTGCTTTGGAGCACTTGTCGCCGGTTGGCCTCTTCAGATCCTGCCAGGTTTTGGACGGTGCTTTGCCCATTGCTTCCAACACGTCCAGCGAAAGGTTGTTGTGGCAGGTCTGGAGGATGAATTCATTGGTGATCGGGTCCCGACAATTCATCGCCTTGTTCCGGAACCTTTTGACGAAGGTATCGACTAACTCTCCGTCTTTCTGCTTCTCATCGAGCAACGATCCGATAGATATCTCGGTGTCGTCGTCGAAGAAGTTGGCCAGGAACTTGGTCTCCATGTCATCCCAGCTATTCACGCTGCCTGGCTTGAGGCGGCGATACCAATCGAAGGCGGCTCCACGAAGAGTGCCGACGAATGACCGCACCATCAGAGGCTCATTACCAGAGATCACCCCCAAATGCGATTTGAAGTAAATCAAATGCTGGGTAGGTGAACCCATCCCATTAAACGGCGTGAAGTTAATTAGATTAAACTTCGCCGGATATGGGATCGATTCCCATTCTCTTGGGTATGGGCAAGGAATGCCTGTTTTCTTCGTCTCTTGAGCGGAAATTAGTGTGTTGATTTTGCTCTCGAGGTTCTTGATCTTCAGACTTTCGCCTGTGTCTTCATTGGCATTCTCATTACCACCCCCTGCATTGACAGGATGATCATTGGTATTCTGAGCATTTGTATCCTCATCTTCCAGATTAACCGGGTTACGACGATTCTGCTCGCCTTGTTGGTTCGCCAATGCTTGGATTTGTTGGTCATGCATTTCTCTCATCTGCTGCATGGCCATCTCCATCTCAAACTTGAAACTTTCTTTCTGCTTAGCCAAAGCGTCTTCAAGCATCTTGGCCATCTGCTCCGCACTTATCATAAGTGCCTCGCGGGGTTGTCCCTCGCTGGATACCGTATTATCTGATGCAACCGCGGAGCCGGCATCAGATTCTTCATCTTCTGAAGGGCGTCTTGTCCGAACCCTACCATAGGTTGCTCGCTCGATGGTTCCGGACTGCAGACGGGTTCTAGGCCGGGAGGCTCTCAGAATCGACTCGAAATCATCCCGTGCCGATGTCCCTTTGCTGGTCATATTGGTGGTGACCCTCGGAAATTCTCCGTCTTCAATCACCCTTCTTCTTCGTTGGAAGCGCCTAGGCCTTGGTTTTGGCGTCTCCGCACTGAGTCTTTCAAAAACTGAAACTCTTTCGGGGACCGCCTTAATGCAATTGCATTCAGACAATACCGCCCGAATGAGTTTGGAACAGGGACATTGAATTTCCTGTTCTCGGGGACTCCTCTTCCTGGTTCTATTCGTACCCCCAGCACGATAGTACAACTCGTCATTTTGACAGTCGGAGTAACCTATCGTGTGCGGGCACGCCTTCTCAGGTATAACACTATCACTATCAGATGATAATGTTTCCATCTGAGGGTGACTTGCCTTCTTTGGGCTTTCAAAGGTTACCCGCCTCAAAACATGCCTTTTTGGGCGTGAATTTTCGGCGTGCTCTTGGACTTCAATGCGCAAATTGGTGCGCGCAGCTGCCTTGAGCTCTTTGTCATGCTGGAGGTGATGGCGACCCCCAGTATGTTGAGTCGTTCTGGGCTTCTTCATCGGGCCCAAACGCTCGTGAATTGGAGCTTTGCCTCTCTCGTCAGGAATTGGACCGAGGCGCTCCATAATTGATTTCTTCTTGCGGGATGACTCTGCATGATCTCCCGGAGAAGTTATTGGGATTAACGGCGACTTTGGTTGACTCGCCGGAGTTTGACCTTCCTTAGAAGGCTGCACTGGTTGCTTTTTGGCCTGAGTCGCCACTTCAGACTTAGGCTTCCAGACTTGGCGTGTTGGTGGTGGCTTCTTCTCCACCTCCTTTTGCAGCTTTCTACGGGCTTCCTGAGCTTGAGCCCGTGCCTGCGCTGACATCGCGCGGCGCTTGCGAATGCGCTCCTCGAGCGTCGAACGGTTTCGTTTGACGCGGACCCATTCTTTCTTTGGCGGCTTGGAAGAAAATGTTTCTGGTAAAGCATGAAGAAACTGTGGTTGTTGATTGGATATCGTTGTTCTTCTGGCTTACAAATCATAATATGTCTCAGGTATTTAGATAATTGTTTTAAAGCATTAGTTAGCTCAAAAGGTTTAAAGTTGTGCCTAAAATGTTTAGTGAACCGTTGCGATATTTATATTTGATATGAATATCTGACAATAGTACCCCTCTTCTAATAAATTTGCATATGATGTAGTATTAGCAGTTTCTGTATGAGTCTATCGAACATTGTTTATTTAGGTCATGCTTATTACTGTGCTTTTTTTACAATCTGACAAAACGACTAGCCTCTGCTTTGATATTGGTAGCAATCTTCATTAAAACTTGTCATAGTGTCGTCATGTATTGGGTAATGGAGAAAGAGGTAACTTACAAGTAAAAAAGGTTTACCTCTTTCTCCATTACCCATCATGCTTATTAGTGTGCTTTCTTTTACAATCTGACAAAACATCCAGCCTATGCTTTGATATAGGCATAGCAATCTTCATTAAAACTTGTCATAGTGTCGTCATGTATTGGGTAATGGAGAAAGAGGTAACTTACAAGTAAAAAAGGTTTACCTATTTCTCCATTACCCATCATGATCTGACAAAGCTGTCCACTGTAGTTATATTTTCATGTTGGCTACTTAGTGCAAAATGCTAATCTGAAGTGATTCTTTCTTAGGTAAAACAGAAATGTCAATCCAATGCTGAGATTGCTGAGGTGAGTTTTTGATGTTCCTTGTTGTGGGTACTCTATGCTTCCTCTTTTTATAACTACGATTAACTGTCATTTCAAAGATTTCATTTGATGCTTAATATTTGACATCAGATTCTACATAATTCTTTTTTAGCTACTAGAGTTTTTCCATTTTGCTTGTACATCAGAGGATATAAATAATTTAGCCCAAGCATTGACACTGAAGGTGGCGTTCAACACTGTCATATTTCCTGTGATGATTGAGTTGTTGAATGTAATATGCAAATTAGCGAAGGAAAATGCTCATATCTCCATGTTGTCTCGCACTCATGGACATGTATTTTCAGTTCTATATGAGAGGCAACTCTTGTTATAACGGAATACCAACTTTTTGTTGATTAGATGTTATCTACAAAAACTTTAATGCTATATAAGCATAATTGAAAATCTTATATTTCCCTTTTATTTGTGTTTACACATAGAAGGACATAGTTTATTGTATATATTGATTTAAAAAAATAATAAGAAGCTATTAGACTAAGAAAATGCAGAGAATGCTTCAAGGAAAAAGAAAAATTCTTTTTCATTTCCATGAACTAATTTATTTAGTAATCCTAAATTCTTAATGAAATTTATCCCAAATGGAGAAGGGATGCAACTGAAAGGAGCACGTTTAGAGAAGGATTAGAGAAGTGGGAGTTTTTTTTGGTTGAAATAACTCAAAGATTTCTGGCTGGTCATTTCGGTGAATTTTATATAAAATTAAGCTTTTTTCAGGGGGGTAGGGGGCATATATAGAAATAATTAAATAATGATTACTTGCTGAAACTCTGGAATTTTCTACATGAGCTAAAACATCATGTATAATTACTGGTTTGATAATGATTATACTGTCTATCTTCGTTCATATATGTTTGCAAGACATGTTCTACATTCCTTTCTTCCCGAGTTTTTAGCTTGATGCTACAAAATAAATTGAATGGTACCTTTTTAATCGGAAGGTTAAAAATAATATAATCATGTCTTTGTTTCTTATTTAGTTCTACATCAGAAAATGAGTGAGAAGTTACGTTGCTTAAATAGGTATGCCCAAGGCTCAAGTGTAACACGGCTAGTTGATTTTGTCAGTGGGTTGAGCCAAACATGTTACGCTTGGTGGGTCCCACGGCTTATACTGCACCAATGGGCCCGGCGGCCCGGGGCGTGACAAATTGTATTATAGCAGTTGCGAGTCAGAAGTGTGGAACTAAGTGCTATGCGGGGTTAAGTGCTATATTGCTTGAGTGCGGTGGGAGCCACCTCTAGAGTCCACATAACCTAGTGATACCGGGATGTGCCAATTGTCATGTCACGGTGAAGATATCACTTATGTAAGGTGGGGTGTTTGTGACACTCCTATTTAGTCCAACATCAGGAAATGAGTGAGAATTTAAGTGGCTTAAATTATTTAAGTGTAACATCGGTTAGTCGATTTTGGCAGTCGATTGAGCCAACCAACATGTTACACTTGTTGGGTCCCACGGCTTGTACTGCACCAATGGGCCCGTCAGGCTAGGGCGTGACATGGCCAATATTAGAAGCGAACATATACTAAGTTGATAGCTCAAAGCAGGAATAAATGATTTGCTTTTGTAATAGGTTTATGTGGTTTAGTTTTGATAACTTCTAACTTCCTTTGTAGTCTGCTTCACCCACTACTTTGGGAAAGGAGATGGCAAATTTTACTTACAGACTAAGTGAAGTAGGGAAGACCTTTACAGAAGTGCAAATATTGGGCAAGTGTGCTGGAGCTGTTGGAAACTACAATGCACATAAAGTTGCATGTCCTGATATTGATTGGCCAACTGTTGCAGCTGTGTTTGTAACCTTTTTGGGGTTAGGTTTCACCCCGTACGTGACACAGGCATGTTTATTTACTTCTACTACTTTTCTCTTTGCAAGGTTTTACCTATCTGATTCAACACAGGCATGTTTATTTACTTCTACTACTTTTCTCTTTGCAAGGTTTTACCTATCTGATTCATTTTAGTTTGATGGTTTTTTTTGCGTAATTAAGTAGTGCATAGATGATTTTAATATGGTTTTTTCTTTGCGGATGACTTGGACAAGTTTCATTAATGGGAGGAGTACTTTATTTACCTGTACTTTTTTGACACTGCTGCTTGTATTCATTGTTCTTTGCTTGAACTAGTTTACTAGTAAACAGTCCTCGTGAAGATTTAGGCAACTATACAAACTGTAAAAGTGTATAACTAATAAAGCCTCAGGATTTTCTTTAATATGAGTTTTGCAATCGACTCAGGTGACTGAAATGTAGGTATTTTTGCCATTTTACATTTCAAGAGTTTACAAAAGGTGATTCATATAGTAAGTAGATACTATCATGTGCATGCTTGATAATAAGTAGATACACTTGCAGGTTATCCATCTATCTTGGAATTACAGTACATTTATCAAATAGCCTATTCTACACCAATCAGTTAGTGCATAAATAAAAATGGAATTATAGCGCCAGCTAATAATTTTGTTAAGTTTGTGTTTTCTGAAAGGTTACGTCAATGTGGCCTATGAATGGAATGGCACATGGCTTGCATGCATACTCTCTATCTGAGCATGTTGCTTGCTTTATATACAGATTGAGCCGCGTGACTATATCGCAAAGCTTTTCAATGCAGTTGTTCAGTTTAATAACATCCTGACTGATTTTGATCGGGACATATGGAGCTATATTTCGTGCGGTTATTTTAAGTAGGTAACTTTCTTATGCTTGACCACTATACCCCTAAAATATTAGGACCTATTTTAGCTGTGTATCATTTACTTTTCCATCTTTATTCATGGTTCTTGAGGAGTACCTAATGTGAAGTTCAGTGCTATATCACAGTTCAAAAAACACGTCTTAGTGTTTCTTTTTGGTAAAGTGATACTATACTTATTGCATGAGTAATCATTGACAGAGGGATTTGACCGATTCCACTATTTTGAGGAATTTGGGTATTGGATCTGGGTATTCTCTCTTAGCATACAAAAGTGCACTATAAGGAATCCAGAAGCTTCAGGTTAGTAGTAAAATCTGTATGAGATGATTATCACTTGAGAATTAGATATAAAGCTAGATGTGTTATTGGTAGGAAATTTGCCGCTATCGTCGTTCTTTGCTTCATGTATGTTGTCTGTTCTGCTCTTTCTTTAACTATTTGGGTTGGGCATATGTTGAATTTGAATTTGTCACTATTGTAAGATGCTAAATTCTGTGAATTACAAGATCATAGAAATGTGGATCCATTTCAAGATGAATTCTTGTCTTGCTGTCAACATAATTTCTATCCAATGTATGTCCATCTAATAATATATATGATTTTACCAATGTTTGGGTTTTTTTCTATATAAGTATTTATTTTCTAAAATTGTACTAATCATTTCCCTCAAAAATATTGTATGAACTATGTCTTTGCTATCCTTTTCAATTTCCTTTAGATCTATTATTTGGGATCCATAACTATGATATCTGGCATGATTCTTTTGAAAAAATTCTATCTGTACGTCCGAGTAGTTGACGTGAAGAAAGATACATCTAAAAGTGGCAAAAGCTCATTTTTTGCTCAATATGCTACCGATGTATAAAGACAATCCCAATATTAACATTTAATTAGGGGTGGCAAATAGGTCGGGTTGGGTCGGGTAGGGTTATAGTTGGCCCAACCCGTATAAGTGTGACCCGACCCGACCCGTTTAACAAATGAGTCAATGCTATCTGACCCGTTTATTAAACGGGTTACCCGACCCAACCCACATAACCCGAATGACCCATTTATCAAATCTCAGTTCAATATCGTGGATACTATATAGATCAAGATGAAATTCTTTTGACTCTTTCGACAATCACGAGTCAAAATATGCAATACTGCTACATAGATTGTACAAGAGATTGACCCTTTTAATAAACAATCCTAATTAAGGATTAGGTTGCCGTTTATTCATAGTATTACAGACCACAGTCCCCGCCTTTTTAGCCTTTGCCTCACTCCGACGACCCCCCAATCCTTCTGATCCTCGCACGGCATAAAAGTCAAAACCGGACAGAACCGAGGCTTTAGAAAAAAACCAGCGCACTCCCAAGCTGACCTCTGGCCTCTGGCCCTTCAACCCCGCAATGTAGTTCCTCCTTAGATCCAGAGCTCTGCTCTTGACCAGATCCCAGTAGCTCTCCCCATCGAGGTGAAGTCGTTTCCCGACAGCGACAGGTTCTCCAGCTTCTCGCAGCTCGCCAGGTCGCATAGCACATCTGGCACCCATTTCCTCCCCCCTTCTCTAACCTCCACTTATCCTCCTCTGATCTTGTGCGTACGAGTGGAACCGTGACCGATCTCAACCGTTGAAATGCTGGCTCGCTGTCGATGAGGGCCGAGACGCGACCGACCGCACGGGGTAGAGGGAATAGGAGAGAGAGGAGAAGGAGGAGGATGAAGACGACGAAGATGATCTTAATATTTGGAGTTTGCAACCCATTTAGAATTAAACGGGTCGGTATTGGGTTATACGGGTCAGTTCGGGTCAACCCTAATTTACCCATCTAATAAACGGGTCAGTTCGGGTTGACCCGTTTATGACCCGACCCATATAACTCGATCCATTCCTAATATAAACAGGTCGGGTCGGGTCGGGTCGGGTTGATGGGTCGGGTCATAATTTGCCACCACTATATTTAATCAAGTTTACTTTGAAACTCACCCAAATTAGTTTGAAGTTTAGAGCTCATTATTTTAAAGTAATAATACTTTGATTATACATTTTTGATACAGTGCCATCAATATGTCTCATTCCAAATTACATATTTAATAATGACATGACTCATGAAATTACACTGCTTTGTAACTCTCTTCGTTTCTTAATTCTTTATTTCTTCTCCATCATGTGTAGGTAAAAGAGTCTCGTCTCAATGATGACTTGGACCAGGTGTGGGAGGTGCTTGCAGAACAAATACAAACAGTAAGTCCTGATAGTGCACTGCACTTCCCTTTAGACTGTTAGCGTCTATGGTTAAATCTAGAATAATACAGATATATACAGCAAAAACTGAATAGAAAACTAAAGCGCAGTAATTTAAAATTTTTCAACTCAGCTGCAGTGCATTTGTAAAATGTTGTGCTTAAAGCATTATTTGGCCTACTCCGGTGCGAGGATCCCAAGGCCAAATTTCTTTCAGGAACAACAGTCCAGTACTTTAGTGTGCAACAACCCAGTACTGTCAAGATCTCCTCGATCTATAAGGTAAAGTTCTCCTCGATCTATCAGGCAAAGATCTCCTCGATCTATGAGACAAAGATCTCCTCGATCTATCAGGTAAAGATCTCCTTGATCTTTCAGACAAAGATGTCCTCGATCTATCAGACCTTCTCGGTATAGGCACTGTTCCTACGAGCACTAGCTATTCTACAACATATATATATATATATATATATTGATTGTTATTTTTAGAATGAATTTTCCTTAAGGATTTGGGGTCTATTTATAGCGTTTGGGAAAATATTATGCACTAATAAAATAATAATATATGTATATATTGATTGTTATTTTTAGAATGATTTTTCTGCTTTTGTTGGTTATATGATGTAATATCAAAGGTCTGCTTGTATGTTGTATTGTTTTTGAAGGTTTTATATAGGACATCTAATTCCACCTCCCCCAGCATTTTGACTATATGTTGGGAAAGATGACAGTCCAAGAGAGGGGTATTTTCACTCGAAAACAAATAGAATATAATTACATTAAGTCTCAATGATGGTCTAGTTACGAACTATTATTCTAGCATTCCTTCTTAAGATGGAAGAGCATATAGACCTGTCATTTTTAGCTAGTTAAATCTAAGCAAAAAAAAAAAAGGTAATGTTTTAGGGAAACCGTTACCTATTTGTCTGAATTGACATGTGAAGTGACATTTTGCTCAATATCATTTCATAATGAAGTGACAATCAACCTTTATATGCTTCCTATTCTCATGAGATTTAGTATGTACCATTGGCAATATACGCCAGAACCTGATTATTAAGATGTATTTCCATAGCCTGAGGTAGAAACACACCTATCTCCTGATGAAGGTATTTAATCAACATAATCCCTCCAGCAGCGAGAGCCATAACTTGATAATCAACCTTAGCAATAAATCATGGTACGATAGTCTGCTTCATCGTGAGATCACCATATTCCTCCAATAAAAGTACAATATCTACCAGCGAGATACTATCAAGAGTATCATTTGCTCAATCAACATCAAAATAACCAATAATATTAAAGAATAAAAGAGACCCTTGTTGCTGATGGACTCTCTCTTGTTTTCTTGCATTAGGTTATGCACAGATACAACATCCCAGAGGCATATGAGAAGCTGAAGGATCTTACCAGACGAAGAGTTGTTAGCAAGGAGAGCATTCAAAAGTTTACTAATGGCTTGCAATTGCCAGAAGAAGCAAAGAGCGTTCTCTTGAATTTGACTCCCCAATAATACATTGGAGAAGCAGAGAAGTTGTCTAAGTCTATCGCCGATCATGTGGATTTGGTGAATGGGTTCAGGCTTTTATAGCCGTTGAAAAAAACGTTGTTTATTTAGGTCATGCTTATTAGTGTGCTTTCTTTTACAATATGACAAAACGTCTAGCCTCTACTTTGATATAGGTAGCGGTCATCATTAAAACTTGTCATAGCGTAGTCATGTCTTGGGTAATGGAGAAAGAGGTAACTTACAATTAAAAAAGGTTTACCACTTTCTCCAATACCCATCATGATCTGACAAAGCTAGCCACTGTAGTTATTTTCATGTTGGCTACTTAGTGCAAAATGCTAATCCGAAGAGATTCTTTTTTAGGTAAAATGGTTGCTAAAATTATCAGAAATACCTGAAATCAAGGAGGTTCAAGCTTTAGCGAGAATGCCAGGTCTTATTTAGAAAGTATAGTTAGTGGCTTCAGCAAAGCTGATGCTCTGGAAGTGAAAAAGATTGAAAAAGTAACTAACCATGATGTTAAGGCAGTGGACTACTTCTTGAAACAGAAATGTCAATCCAATGCTGAGATTGCTGAGGTGAGTTTTTGATGTTCCTTGTTGTGGGTACTCTATGCTTCCTCTTTTTGTACCTACGACTAACTGTGATTTCAAAGATTTCATTTGATGCTTAATATTTGACATCTGATTCTACAAAAAGAAAATTTAGGTACTGGAGTTTTTCCATTTTGCTTGTACATCAGAGGATATAAATAATTAAGCCCATGCATTGGCACTGAAGGAGGCGTTCAACACTGTCATATTTCTTGTGATGATTGAGTTGTTGGATGAAATATGCAAATTAGCGAAGGAAAATGCTCATATTACACATAGAAGGACATAGTTTATTGTATATATTGATTTAAAAAAAAAGAATCAGAAGCTATTAGACTAAGAAAATGAAGGAATGCTTCAAGGAAAAAGAAAAATTCTTTTTCATTTCCATGAACTAATTTATTTAGCAATCCTAAATTCTTAATGAAATTTATCCCAAATGGAGAAGGGATGCAACTGACAAGAGCACGTTTAGAGAAGGATTAGAGAAGTAGGAGTACTCAAAGAAAAACGAAGTACTCTTGGGTTTAAAAAGTTAAACTTAATCTAAGGTGCACAAGGTAATATTCCACTAAGAATTTTTCCCTAATGTCCTGTTGTTGGATTTTTTTTGGCTGAAATAACTCAAAGATTTCTGGCTGGTCATTTTGGTGAAATTTTTTTATACAAAAGTAAGCTTCTTTTTTTTGGGGGGGAGGGGGGGCTTATATAGAAATAATTAAATAATGATTACATGCTAACTTAGGAATTTTCTACATGGGTCTAATACATCATGTATAATTACAGGTTTGATAAAGATTATACTGTCTATCTTCGTTCATATATGTTTGCAAGACATGTTCTACATTCCTTTCTTCCCAAGTTTTTAGCATGATGCTACAAAATAAATTGAATGGAACCTTTTCAATCTGAAGGCTAAAAATAATATAATCATGTCTTTGTTTCTTATTTAGTTCTACATCAGAAAATGAGTGAGAAGTTACGTTGCTTAAATAGGTATGCCCAAGGCTCAAGTGTAACACGGCTAGTTGATTTTGGCAGTGGGTTGAGCCAAACATGTTACGCTTGTTGGGTCCCACGGCTTGTACTGCACCAATGGGCCCGGCGGCCCGGGGCGTGACAAATTGTATTATAGCAGTCGCAAGTCAGAAGTGTGGAACTAAGTGCTATGCGGGGCTAAGTGCTATATTGCGTGAGTGCGGTGGGAGCCAGCTCTAGAGTCCACATAACCTAGTGATACCGGGATGTGCTAATTGTCATGTCATGATGAGGATGTCGCTTATTTAAGGTGGGGTGTGTAGAAGATCAAACCTGAGATCGAAGCTCGCCTTCGATTGCGAAGTTGAGGAGGCGAGGAAGATCTCCTCTAGAGGTCGATGGAGAACTTGAGGAGGTGAGGAAAGTCGCTTGTTCGAGATCGCAGGCGAAGTGTGTGGTGAGGTCGAGCTTGGGAGGCGAGCGGATCTCCCCTGCTACGTGGATCAAACTCGCCTATAGCGGATCTCACCTGTTGATGTCCGCCTTGCCTATGATCTCACCTGCAGTGGAGTGAACTTCACCTGTGTGTGGTTGGAGCAAGCTGGACCGTAGCTGGAGCGCATAGACCGACCGCCCTAAGGGTTTCCCTATAAAAGGGAAACCTTATTCGTGCGCGAATTAGTGAGCGCGAGAGCAAAGAGAGAAGAAGAGATTGGCGGTGGTAATTTCTTAAGCTTCCGTTCTCTCTGCTGTTTGGAAAATTTCTTATTTTTATTCCCTTTTGTCCCTATTCTCATTTACTGTTGAGAAGGGGTTGGTGAATATTAATTGGGGAAGTTATTGTAATAGAGAGAGTGTTTGAGCATTGATTTTAGATTAAAATCAATTTCTATTTGTTTGAGAGACCTCAAGTTTGAGATCCTCTCTCTTATTTTTAATTTCTTGTTATTAATAAGAAATTATTGTGTCGTTGCCGTGGACGAAGGCAGATTTGTCGAACCACATAAAATCTGTTGTCTTGCATTTGTGTTACTTGTTTGGTTATTGATAAGTATTCCAATTTCGTTTGTATTTGTGTGCCTTCAGTTTTACTGCGCACAATAAGTGGTATCAGAGCTCCGGGTTTGACTTGGTGTTCGATTTGGTGAAGAAAGCTAGAGCTTGGATTCTCATTTGAAGAGATTGGATTATCAACATGGGTGAAACAAGTACATCGGGATCGTCTCTTTCAAAGGCGATACAAGGGTTGAGCATTAGTAATACAAAAATTGATGCTCAAAAATTTGATGGCAAGATAAATTTAGGTTTGTGGAGGTGTCAAGTGATGGATGCATTAGTCGGCCAAAATTTGGAGGAGACTTTTGAGTTACAAGAGAAACCTGAAGACAAGGAGGATAAGATTTGGAAGAAAAATAAATAGTAGATCTTGTGGGGTTATTCGATCATGTTTGACGCCGGATTTGATCTATGATGTGATGAACAAGATATCGACAAAATGGTTCTGGGAAACACTCAATGAGAAGTATCTTACGAAGAGCATTGAGAATCGGCTTAACTTAATGAAGAGGTTTTACCAATTCAAGATGAAGAGGGGAGTTTCCATTAGAGAACATGTCATTAACTTCACAAAATTGCTATCAGATATGGCCAATGTGGATATCATGGTAGAGGATGAAGATAAGGCGATGTTGTTGCTATGTTCATTGCCAGAGGATGATTTCGGTACATTTTTCCTTACGATGATCAATGGTAAAACCACTGTTGCTATGTTCATTGCCAGAGGATGATTTCGGTACATTTTTCCTTACGATGATCAATGGTAAAACCACTATCCGCTAAAAGGAGGTGACCTCAGTATTAGTGAACTATGAGTTGAGGAAGAGAGATAGTGAACCCTCCGAGAAGGCATCGGGAGATGCATTGGCAGTGAGAGGCAGTAGTCCAAACCACCATCCATTTAATCGCTCCAAGTCAATCCAAGGAGGTGGCTATAAGAGTGTTGGTAGGAATCAATGTCGCTTCTGTAAAGAAGAGGGACATCGGAAGATCGACTGCCCAAAGTTGAAGGATAGAGCCAGGAAGAATAAGGGGAAAGCCGTACAGGCTTCAGAAGTGAATATTGCCAAAGTTAGTGGTGATAATTCAAATTCAGATTCTTCAGGCTATTTATGCCCAGCATTACCGTCAGTTTGTTATGCCAACTCTACGGAGTGGATGTTGGATTCAGGTGCTATATACCATATTTGCCGGAGGAGGGATTGGTTCTCCAGCTTTGAGGAATTGGAAAGAGGGGATGTCGTGCTCATGGATAATGACCACGTATGCCCTATCGGTGGTATTGGTATAGTCCGGATCAAGATGTATGACGGGGTGACTAGGGAGTTGAAAGAAGTGAGATTCGTTCCTTAATTAAAGAAGAATATCATTTTACTTGGAACTTTGGAGGTAGCTGGCTATAGGGTGATCTTGGAGAATGCAACTCTGAAGGTCACAAAGGGGTCCATGGTGGTGATGCGAGGTGTCAGGAAAAACAACCTTTACTACTTGAAGGGTAAGACTGTAACAGAGGGTCTAGCAGCTTCGATTACCATAAAGAAAGATACTACTAGCTTATGGCATATGAGATTGGGACACACTGGTGATAAGTCCCTACAGGTATTGGCAAAACAGGGGCTATTTAAGGGTGTAAAGACCTGTAAGATGGAGCTGTGTGAACATTGCATATTTGGGAAGAAGACAAAAGTGAAATTTGGCACCGCAATTCACAATACCTAAGGTATATTGGATTATATTCATACTGACATTTGGGATCCTTCCAAGAACACATCTCTTGGTGGGGCCAATTATTTTGTCACTTTCATTAATGATTATTCTAGGAGGAATTGGGTATACCCCATGAAGCATAAACATGAGGTCGTGGATATATTTGTGGAGTGGAAGAAGAAAGTAGAGCTGCAAACAGGTAGAAAGGTGAATGTACTGCGTTCGGATAATGTTGGTTAGTACAAGAGTGATCCGTTTTTGCAGTTTTGTTGGGATCACGGCATTAGGCGACACTTCACAGTTCGTAAGACACCGCAACAAAACGGGGTGGCTGAAAGGTTGAATCGTACCTTGCTAAAGAAGGTGCGATGTATGATGATACAGAATGGATTGTTAAGATCCTTTTCGGCCGAGGCGTTGGTTTAAGCGAGCCATCTCGTGAATAGGTTGTCGTGTACTGCGATACATGGAAAGACTCCAATAGAGCGTTGGTCTGGTTCGGTAGCTATTGACTATGAGTCGCTTCGTATATTTAGGTGTCCTGCTTATTACCATGTCAGTGATGATAATTGAATCCGAGGGCGAGGAAAGCAGCCTTTGTGGGATTTAGTGATGGAGTTAAAGGCTTCAAGTTGTGGGATCCATAAGACAAGAAGATGGTCATTAGCAGAGATGTCACTTTTGATGAGGCTCACATGATGAGGTCTCAGATTCCTCAGCAGTTGGAGGAAAGCCAGACTAGTGGGGTATCACAGCAGGTGGAGGAAGATGTGACTCTACAGACTTCAGATAGCACTGTATCTATTGAGACTCCTACAGAGGTGACACTGGGAGGAGATGATATGACAGACGGACAAGTGGAGGATACAGTGGATGTTGGGACTCAGGAACAGGGTTATGTACAGGAGTCCATTACAGCTAATAGACCAAGAAGAAGCATTCGTCGGCTAGCTAGATATGATGATGTCATGGTTGCATATGCTTTATCAGTAGAACGTTGATGATTTGGTTCCTTCTTCATTTAGAGAAGCAGGGTCAAGCTCTGATTCGATTAGGTGGAGGGAAGCTATGGAGGAAGAGATGCAGTCTCTTCATAAGAATGACACTTGAGAACTTGCAAAGCTACCGAAGGATAAGAAGGTTATTGGATGCAAGTGGGTATATGCGAAGAAAGAAGGATCTTCTATTGGGGACATTCGGTATAAAGCCAGATTGGTTGCCAAAGGGTATGCCTAGCTTGAGGGCATAGATTAAAATGAGGTATTATCACCTGTTGTAAAGCATTCGTCGATAAGAATATAATTGGCGTTGATGACACAGCTGGATTTGGATTTGGTCCAGATGGATGTTAAGACATCCGTTCTACATGGAGATTTAGAAGAGGAGATCTACAAGATACAACCTATGGGGTTCAAAGCTACAGGAAAGGAAAAATTAGTATGCAAGCTGAAGAAGTCTCGTTACGGATTGAAGCAATCGTCATGACAACGGTATAAGAGATTCGACGACTTCATTATTGGCTGAGGATACACGAGAAGCCCATATGGCCTCTGTGTTTACATATACAAGCTACAGAATGGTGAGTATATTTATTTGCTGTTATATGCTGACGATATGCTCATTACTTCCAGGAAAACATCAGCTATTAGAAAGTTGAAAAAGGAACTGTCATCCGAATTTGAGATGAAGGATCTTAGAGAAGAAAAGAAGATATTGGGTATGGAGATTGAGAGAGACAGGGTGAAGGGGAGGATGAAGTTGACACAGAGGAGTTACTTACAGAAGATGCTGAAGAAATTCAGTTATAATGGCAATGCTAAGGCGGTGAGTACTCCATTAGCTCTCCACTTTAAGCTATCAGCTAAGATGTCACCTGTTTCAGTTGAGGATCATGAATACATGTCCAAAGTTCTATATGCCAATGTGGTGGGTAGCTTGATGTCTGGGATAGTGTGTACAAGGCCAGATTTGTGACAGGCCATGAGCATGGTATCTAGGTATATGCACAACCTAGGGAAGGGTCATTGGAGACCGTGAAGTGGATTCTATAGTATATAAAAGGTACCGTGGATTTTGGTTTTGTATTTGAGAAGAATAGGAAGAATGGGCAGGATTGCATTGGTTATGTGGATTTCGATTATGCAGGGGATCTTGACGAGCGCCGGTCTATTATTGGATATGTGTTTACACTAGCAGGAGCACCGGTGTGTTGGAGATGCACACTTCAGTCTACAATGGCTCTCTCACCTACGGAGGCAGAGTATATAGCGTTGACTGAATCTATGAAGGAGGCTTTGTGGTTGCAGGGGTTATTGGATGACCTGGGGATTGCACAGGATACCATCAGGGTACATTATGATAGTATGTCAGCTATCTATTTGGCCAAGAACCAGGTTTATCATGCTATCACAAAGCACATTGATGTTAGATTCTATTTTGTTCGAGACGTATTGGATGATGGAGACGTCAGATTGGAGAAGATCCACACAAAGGATAATCCGGCGGATATGTTGACCAAAGTTATCATTGGAGTGAAATTTGGTTATTGTTTGGAGTTGTTAAACATTCTTCACTGTTGAGGGACTTTGGAGGTCATGTAGTGAACTACGTGAAGGCTTAATTCCTTGGACAAGATGATACGTGAAGGCTTGATGCAGCCGATTTGGTGAGTAGACATCGACGTTTGGAGAATGGTCTCATTCTCATTTAGTTCCTGACTTATTAGGGATTGAATCCGTTGTCGTGAATTGTTTCACTTCGTACTGGACGCAACAAGTGGGACATTTGTTTTGGTCAGTGTCGGCTCAGTTTTGGGGAAACGTTCGTCGAGGTGGAGATTTGTAGTAGATCGTACCTGAGATCAAAGCTCGCCTTTGATGGCAAAGTTAAGGAGGCGAGGAAGATCGCTTGTAGAGGTCGATGGTGAAGTTGAGGAGGTGAGGAAAGTCTCCTGTTTGAGATCGTAGGCGAAGTGCGTGGTGAGGTCGAGCTTGGGAGGCGAGTGGATCTCGCCTGCTGGGTGGATCGAACTCGCCTGTAGCGGATCTCAGTCGAGCTTGGGAGGCGAGTGGATCTCGCCTGCTGGGTGGATCGAACTCGCCTGTAGCGGATCTCACCTATTGATGTCGCCCTCGCCCATGATCTCGCTTGTAGCGGAGTGAACCTCGCCCGTACATGGTTGTATCCAGCTGGAGCGTAGCTAGAGCACAGCTAGAGCATAGCTAGAGCGCATAAACCGACCGCCCTATGGTTACCCTATAAAAGGGAAACCCTATTCGTGAGCGAATTATTGAGCGTGAGAGCAGAGAGAGAATAAGAGATTGGCGGCGGTAATTTCTTGAGTTCCCGTTCTCTCTGTAGTTTGGGAAATTTTTGATTTTTATTACCTTTTGTTCCTATTCTCAATTACTGTTGAGAAGGGGTTGGTGAATATTAATTGGGCAAGTTATAGTAATAGAGAGAGAGTGTTTGAGCATTGATTTTAGAATAAAATCAATTGCTATTTGTTTGAGAGATCTAAAGTTTGTGATCCTCTCTCTTATTTGTAATTTCTTATTATTAATAAGAAATTATTGTGCCGCTCCCGTGGACATAGGTAGATTGACCGAACCACGTAAAATCTGTTGTCTTGCATTTGTGTTACTTGTTTGGTTGTTGATAAGTATTCCAATCTTGTTTGTATTTATGTGCCTTCGGTTCCGCTCTGTACAACAGGGTGTTTGTGACACTCCTATTTATTCCAACATCAGGAAATAAGTGAGAATTTAAGTGGCTTAAATTATTTAAGTGTAACATCGGTTAGTCGATTTGGCAGTAGATTGAGCCAAACAAAACGTTATACTTGTTGGGTCCCACGGCTTGTACTGTACCAATAGGGCCGTCAGGCCGGGGCATGACATGGCTAATATTAGAAGCGGACATATACTAAGTTGACTGCTCAAAGCAGCTGAAATATCATATTGATAATTTTCATCGTTATGCTATAGGAATAAATGATTTGCTTTTGTAATAGGTTTATGTGGTTTAGTTCTGATATCTTCTAACTCCCTTTGTAGCCTGATTCACCCACTACTTTAGGAAATGAGATGGAAAATTTTGCTTTCAGACTAAGTGAAGTAGGGAAGACCTTTACAGAAGTGCAAGTATTAGGCAAGTGTGCTGGAGCTGTTGGAAACTACAATGCACATAAAGTTGCATATCCTGATATTGAATGGCCAACTGTTGCAGTTGAGTTTGTGACCTCTTTGGGGTTAGGTTTCAACCCTTATATGACTCAGACATGTTTATTTACTTCTACTACTTTTCTCTTCACAATGTTTTACCTATCTAATTCATTTCAGCTTGATGGATCTTTTTTTTGAGTAATTAAGTAGTGCATAAACGATTTTGATATGGTTTTTTCTTTGTGGATGACTTGGACAGCTTTCACTAATGGGAGGAGTACTTTATTTACCTATACTTTTTTTACATTGCTGCTTGTATTCATTGTTCTCTGCTTGAACTAGTTTACTAGTAAACAGTCCTCGTGAAGATTTAGGCAACTATACAAACTGTAAAAGTGTATAACTAATAGAGCCTCAGGATTTTCTTTAATATGAGTTTTGCAATCGACTCAGGTCATTAAAATGTAGGGTTTTTTTTTACCATTTCACGTTTCAAGAGTTTATAAAAGGTGATTCATATAGTAAGTAGATACTATCATGTGCATGCTTGATAATAAGTAGATACACTTGTAGGTTATCCATCTATCTTGGAATTACAGTACATTTATCAATTAGCCTATTCTACACCAACCAGTTAGTGCATAAATAATAATAGAATTGTAGCACCAACTAATAATTTTGTTAGGCTTGTGTTGTCTAAAAGGTTACGTCAATCTGGCCTATGAATGGAATGACACTTGGCTTGCATGCATACTCTCTACCTGAGCATGTTGCTTGCTCCGTATACAGATTGAGCCGCATGACCATATCATAAAGCTTTTCAATGCAGTTGTTCAGTTTAATAACATCCTGACTAATTTTGATCGGGACACATGGAGCTATATTTCGTTAGGTTATTTTAAGCAGGTAACTTTCTTATGCTTGACCACTATGCCCCTAAAATATTAGGGCCTATTTTAGCTCCCAAACTTCTAATTTGGAACTAAACGATTTCATGATAATTTTGCTTTCCAGATGACCAAGGCTAGGGAGATTGGATCTTCAACTATGCCTCATAAAGTTAATGCCATTGATTTTGAGAATAGTGAGGGCAATTTGTGTTTGGATAATGCTATTTTATCTGATAGCTCTCAGCTCGAAATTGCCCATCTCTCATATGCAGGTGTGTATCATTTACTTTTCCATCTTTATTCATGGTTCTTGAGGAGTACCTAATGTGAAGTTCAGTGCTATATCACAATTCAAAAAACACGTCTTAGTGTCTCATTCTGGTAAAGTGATACTATACTTATTGTATGTGTAATCATTGACATAGGTATTTGACCGATTCCACTATTTTGAGGAATTTGGGTATTGGATCTAGATATTCTCTCTTGGCATACAAACGTGCACTATAAGGAATCCGGAAGCTTCAGGTTAGTAGTAAAATCTGCATGAGATAGTTATCGCTGGAGAATTAGAAATAAAACTAAATGTGTTATTGGTAGGAAATGTGCCGATGTCGTCGTTCTTTGCTTCATGTATGTTGCTTGTTCTGTTCTTGCTTTAACTATTTAGGTTGGGCATATGTTAAATTTGAATTTGTCACTAATGCAAGATGTTAAATTCTATGAATTACAAGATCATAGAAATGTGGATCCATTTCAAGACGAACCCCCCAATCCCTCTGATCCTCGCACGACATAAAAGTCCAAATCGGATTGAACCTGGGCTTTAGAAAAAAACCAGCGCACTCCCAGGCTAACCTCTAACCCTTCAACCTCACAACGTAGTTCCTCCTTAGATCTAGAGCTCCGCTCTCGACCAGAGTATATGGCGTTGACTGAAACTGTGAATGAGGCTTTGTGGTTGCAGGGGTTATTGGATGACCTAGGGATTGCACAAGATAACATCAGGGTACATTTTGATAGCATGTCAGCTATCTATTTAGCCAAGAACCAGGTGTATCATGCTCCACAAAGCACATTGATGTCAGATTCTATTTTGTTCGATACGTATTGGATGATGGACGTCAGATTGGAGAAGATCCACACAAAGGACAATCTGACAGATATGTTGACCAAAGTTGTCACTGGAGTAAAATTTGGTCATTGTTTGCAATTGTTAAACATTCTTCGCTGTTGAGGTCCTTTGGAGCCTATGTGGTGAACTATGTTAAGGCTTGATTCCTAGGACAAAAGGATACATAGGCAAGTCTTTATGATGCAACCGATTTGGTGAGTAGACATCGACGTTTGGAGAATGGTCTTATTCTCATTTGGTTCTTGGCTTATGTGGATTGAGTCCGTTGTCGTGAATTGTTTCACTTCGTACTAGACGCAACAAGTGGGACATTTGCTTGGTTGGTGTCGGCTCAGTTTTAGGAAAACGTTCGCTGAGGTAGAGATTTGTAGAAGATCGTACCCGAGATCGAAGTTCGCCTTCGATGGCGAAGTTAAGGAGGCTAGGAAGATAGCCTGTAGAGGTCGATGGCGAAGTTGAGGAGGCATGGAAAGTCGCCTGTTCGAGATCGCTGGCGAAGTGTGTGGTGAGGTCAAGCTTGGGAAGCGAGCGGATCTCGCCTGCTGCGTGGATCGAACTCGCCTGTAGCGGATATCACCTATTGATGTCGCCCTCGTCTATGATCTCGCTTATAGCAGAGTAAACCTCGCCTGTGCATGGTTAAAGCTAGCTGGAGTGCATAGACCGACCGCCCTAGGGTTTCCCTATAAATAGAAACCCTATTCGTGCGTGAATTAGTGAGTACAAGATCAGAGAGAGAAGAAGAGATTGGCGGCGGCAATTTCTTAAGCTTCCATTCTCTCTATAGTTTGGGAAATTTTTGATTTTTTTCCCTTTTGTCCCTATTCTCAATTACTGTTGAGAAGGGGTTGGTGAATATTAATTTGGGAAGTTATTATAATAGAGAGAGAGTGTTTGAGCATTGATTTTGGATTAAAATCAATTGCTATTTGTTTGAGAGATCTAAAGTTTGAGATCCTCTCTCTTATTTGTAATTTCTTATTATTAATAAGAAATTATTGTGTCGCTCCCGTGGACATATGCAGATTTGCCGAACAACGTAAAATCTGTTGTCTTGCATTTGTGTTACTTGTTTGGTTATTGATAAGTATTCCAATCTCATTTGTATTTGTGTGCTTTCAGTTCCGGGTGTTTGTGACACTCCTATTTAGTCCAACATCAGGAAATGAGTGAGAATTTAAGTGGCTTAAATTATTTAAGTGTAACATCGGTTAGTCGATTTTGGCAGTAGATTGAGCCAAACAACACATTACACTTTTTGGGTCCCACGGCTTGTACCGCACCAATGGGCCCGTCAGGCTTGGCCGGGGTGTGACATGGCCAATATTAGAAGCGGACATATACTAAGTTGACTGCTCAAAGCAGCTAGAATATCATATTGATAATTTTCATCGTTATGCTACAGGAATAAATGATTTGCTTTTGTAATAGGTTTATGTGGTTTAGTTCTGATATCTTCTAACTCCCTTTGTAGCCTGCTTCACCCACTACATTGGGAAAGGAGATGGTAAATTTTGCTTTCAGACTAAGTGAAGTAGGGAAGACCTTTATAGAAGTGCAAATATTGGGCAAGTGTGCTGGAGCTGTTGGAAACTACAATGCACATAAAGTTGCATATCATGATATTGAATGGCCAACTATTGCAGCTGAGTTCATGACCTCTTTGGGGTTAGGTGCCAACCCTTACGTGACACAGGCATGTTTATTTACTTCTACTACTTTTCTCTTTGCAAGGTTTTACCTATCTGATTCATTACCGCTTGATGGATCTTTTTTTGCATAATTAAGTAGTGCATAGACGATTTTGATATGGTTTTTTCTTTGTGGATGACTTGGAAATCTTTCATTAATAGGAGGAGTACTTTATTTACCTGTACTTTTTGGACACTGCTGCTTGTATTCATTGTTCTCTGCTTGAACTAGTTTACTAGTAAATAGTCTTCGTGAAGATTTAGGCAACTATACAAACTGCAAAAGTGTATAACTAATAGAGCCTCAGGATTTTCTTTAATATGAGTTTTGCAATCGACTCAGGTGGCTGAAATGTTGGTTTTGTTTTTGCCATTTCATGTTTCAAGAGTTTACAAAAGGTGATTCATATAGTAAGTAGATACTATCATGTGCATGCTTGATAATAAGTAGATACACTTGCAGGTTATCCATCTATCTTGGGATTACAGTACGTTTATCAATTAGCCTATTCTACACCAACCAGTTAGTGCATAAATAATAATGGAATTGCAGCGCCAGCTAATAATTTTGTTAAATTTGTGTTGTCTGAAAGGTTATGTCAATGTAGCCTATGAATGGAATGCCACTTGGCTTGCATGCATACTCTCTATCTGAGCCTGTTGCTTGCTTCGTATACAGATTGAGCGGCATGACTATATCGCAAAGCTTTTCAATGCAGTTGTTCAGTTTAATAACATCCTGACTGATTTTGATCAGGACTTATGGAGCTATATTTCGTTAGGTTATTTTAAGCAGGTAACTTTCTTATGCTTGACCACTATACCCCTAAAATATTAGGACTTATTTTAGCTCCCAAACTTCAAATTTCGAACTAAACAATTTCAAGATAATTTTGATTTCCAGATGACCAAGGCCAGGGAGATTAGATCTTCAACTATGCCTCATAAAGTTAATCCCATTGATTTTGAGAATAGTGATGGCAACTTGTGTTTGGCTAATGCTATTTTATCTACTAGTGATGGCAACTTGTGTTTGGCTAATGCTATTTTATCTACTTGCTCTCAGCTCGAAATTTCCCATCTCTCGTACGCAGGTGTGTATCATTTACTTTTCCATCTTTACTCATAGTTCTTGAGGAGTACCTAATGTGAAGTTCAGTGCTATATCACAATTCAAAAAATACGTCTTAGTGTTTCATTTTGGTAAAGTGATACTATACTTATTGCATGTGTAATCATTGACAGAGGGCTTTGACCGATTCTACTATTTTGAGGAATTTGGGTATTGGATCTGGGTATTCTCTCTTAGCATACAAAAGTGCACTATAAGGAATCCAGAAGCTTCAGGTTAGTAGTAAAATCTGCATGAGATGGTTATCACTATAGAATTAGATATAAATCTAGAGGTGTTATTAGTAGGAAATGTGTTGCTGTCGTCGTTCTTTGCTTCAAGTGTGTTGTTTGTTCTATTTTTGCTTTAACTATTTGGGTTGGGCATATGTTGAATTTGCTCAAAAATATTGTATGAACTATGTCTTTGCTATCCTTTTCAATTTCCTTTAGATATATTATTTAGGATCCATAACTATGATATCTGGCATGATTCTTTTGAAAAAATTCTGTCTGTATGTCCGAGTAGTTGATGCGAAGAAAGATACATCTAAAAGTGGCAAAAGCACCTTTTTTGCTCAGTATGCTGTCGACGTATAAAGACAATCCTAATGTTAACATTTAATATGGGGTGACAAATGGGTCGGGTTGGGTTGGGTAGGGTCATAGTTGGACCAACCCGTATAAGTGTGATCCGAGGGGTGACAAATGGGTCGGGTTGGGTTGGGTAGGGTCATAGTTGGACCAACCCGTATAAGTGTGATCCGACCCGACCCGTTTAACAAATGAGTCGTTGGGTAGGGTCATAGTTGGACCAACCCGTATAAGTGTGATCCGACCCGACCCGTTTAACAAATGAGTCCATGCGATCCGACCCATTTATTAAACGGGTTACCCGACCCAACCCATATTACCTGAATGACCTGTTTATCAAATCTCAGTTCAATATCGTGGATACTATATAGATCAAGATGAAATTCTTTTGACTCTTTCGACAATCAAAAGTCTAAACATGCAATACTGCTACATAGATTGTACAAGAGATTGATCCTTTTAATAAACAATCCTAATTAAGGATTAGGTTCCCGCTTATTTACAGCATTATAAACCACGGTCCCTGGCTTTTTGGCTGTCGCCTCACTCTGACGAACCCACAAATCCCTCTAATCCTCGCACGACATAAAAGTCAAAACCGGACAGAACCTGGGCTTTAGAAAAAACCAGCGCACTCCTAGACTAACCTCTGACCCTTCAACCCCGCAACATAGTTCCTCCTTAGATCCAGAGGTCCGCTCTCGACCAGATCCCAGCAGCTCTCCCCCATCGAGGTGAAGTAGTTCCCCAACAACGACAGGTTCTCCAGCTTCCCACAGCTCGCCAGGTCGTAGAGCACGTCGGGCACCCATTTCCTCCCCTTCTCCGACCTCCACTTATCCTCCTCCGATCTTGTTCGTACGAGCGGAACCGCGATCGATCTCGACCGTTGAAACATTGGCCGCTATCGATGAGGGCTGAGACGCGGCCGACCGTGCCGGAGACGCTGGACCTGGTGAGAAACTAGGGGTCGAAGGAAGAGGAGAGAAAGGAGAAGGAGGAGGATGAAGACGACGAAGATGATCTTCATATTTGGAGTTTGCAACCCATTTAGAATTAAACAGGTCGGTATTGGGTTACACGTGCCAGTTCGGGTCAACCCTAATTTACCCATCTAATAAACGGGTCAGTTCGGGTTGACTCATTTATAACTTGACCCATATAACTCGACCCATACCAAATATAAA